AATAGATGTTCAAATAATATTTTTTTTTATTAATTGTGGCTGGTGGTATCTTAACTGTCTGTGCTGAAGTACACAATTCATGGTATTAATTCTCTTTGCAAAGTATGCATTCTTGCAGCAAAAAAGTTTGACGAATCAGCTAAATGAAAAAAAAAACACATCTTTGAGGTCATTATATAAAAAATATATAAAAGATATAAATCTTAATTTGTTCCAAAAAAAGTAGGTTAAGAGAGCTCCCTAGACATTGGGAAAACCTGTTTTAGACCATGAAATATGAAAATTTGTTTTGTTTTATACTTCACATGACTTAACACTGTTGTATAAAAGCGATAAATAAATAGAGATTGTGCTATATTGCGGTTATTGGGATGGCTGTGCTTTGGAGTCATGTTTTTGCATGCCAATAACCACGATGTAGCTCAACCTCTATAGTGTTTTTTGCATGAACATTAAAGGGGTTGATTGCAAAAAACAAAATGAGTCTTGAATAGAATTGGAACCCTGAGTCTGTTTTCTATCTCTCAGTACTTTTTAGAATGAAGCACAGCCCTTGTTTTCAGCCCTGCGTTGTTCCCTCACATACTTCGTGTAAATGTTTACCATTTTATCCTCTCAAAGAACGAAGAATTAGCCCATTCGCCTGTTCGTGACAGAAGTCAACGTGCTAAACTGTGACTCATTGGCACACGCAATGAGGAAAGGAAAGAAAAGGAGTGAAAAAGACTTGTTAATAATGCACGCTTTGTGTGCGAAAACAGCGGCTGCTCTTTCTGTGTAGAGGAAACATATCAATCCCACATGTGTGGCAATGAAAGCCAGTTTGTTGCTCCATTGCTCAGAAATCTGTTTGCAAACAGGAGGAGAAGTATCACAGAGATGTTGGCCATGTTGGGAAAGGCAAAGAGGGTGACACACTTTGGAAATTGGCCTTTACACATGCCATGTGCTGCTGCCGTTCAACATTTGATGACTTTGTTTAGCTCCCTGTCAGATGTAACAGGAGGTGTAATGTCAGTAAAGAAATGTGAACTAGTTGACAGCTTTTGCTTGATGTCTTTTGCATTGTGGATTTGGTGCAGTACAGTGCATTCAAGGCATTGCTAGCAAATACAAGTTTAGCTACACTAACTTCATTGATTATGTTTACAAATGTCTCCATAATTTCAACTTCATTTCAAATAATTTCAAATAATTCCATAAACTTCAAAACGCTTCCATAAATCAAAGTGTTATAGAGTTATTCACCCAAAAATGATAATTCTGTCATCATTTACTCACTCACATGTGAATCCGAACCCATAAGGCACATATACAGAGATTTTTACTGAAGCCTGAGAAATTTCTTTGCCTCCATTGAAAGTCTAATCCATCAAAACTGTGATGCTTTAAACAGTTTATAAAGACAAAAGTAATCCATATGAATCCAGTGTTAAAGCTTCTGAAATCTTCTGAAGAGTCATGATCACATTTACATGATTCATTTACCACTTTTATTCACACATAAACATTGATCAGGGCACATCTATGGAGCACATCAAATATGGTACTTGCTTGAATTGCGAGAATAAACCTCAGTTCTTGGTTCTTGTAGGAACTCAAATGTTCTTTCATGACACACGAGAATGAACGTCTCGGGTTACGTATGTAACCCTAGTTCCTCGAGGGAA